AGAGAGAGAGAGAGAGAGAGAGAGAGAGAGAGAGAGAGAGAGAGAGAGAGAGAGAGAGAGAGAGAGAGAGAGAGAGCAGCTATGTGTGGGATGAGACCTTTATTTTGGCCTCTATTTTGGCCAATCATCTATATAATTTTGATCTCTATTTTGGCCGATCTTGTTGCGGCATTTTCGGGTTTTTTAATGTAAATCGTTTCGAAGTTTTCCCTGTCGTTTTTGCCTCGTGTGTATGCATGGAATGGATGTAAACCCTCCTCGAGTGATCTTTTTGGATTTTGAATCCTGTTCTGCAATGTCTGTTTAGTTTCGCTTTCTAGTACCCATCTGCCTCTGCGATAATCCCGGGTCTGATTGAAAACACTCGCTATGGATGTTTGGGTTTAATTGTTAGCTTTGATCACCAATGCTGTGATGTGTTGGCCCGGGGCAATTTCCCTTCTCCTTTCTCTTCGTCGCACGAATGGCATGAATGTGAATGCAATGACTAGGTACCACCTGAAATAGCATGGGTAGGATAGTTGCATGCAGGGAGGACACAACCGATACACCGACACGAGGAACCCGAGCCTGATCAGCTTCCGCTCATGCGCACGCTCGCGTACGACCGTGATCTCGAGGTAACCGAGTCGCAACGTACGTGCGCGTGTGCATGAGCCGACCTCGATCCTGACTTATGAGGATGCGGGAGACCGAGTTCACTAATCGGACATGGCTGTAAAACCCCCCTCTTGGATTACCGATCGTAAGAGCTTGAGGGACCCGGAGTATCGTGAATACTGGGAGGGTGAACAGCTCAGACGGCGGGGAAACATGAGAAACGCGGAATTCCCCTGTCTGACGGAGAACGATCGACTGTGCGCGGGGAACTTTCACTGGGCCATAACTAATGATCCCCGGGGCCCAGACTACCCGGATACTAACAACACTCAATATTACATATCTCCGGGCTTCGTCGTTATGAACACCAGTTTGCCTCCCTTTCATCTCCTCCTCCCATACCATCAGCTCACAGTGGTACTGTGGAATTCCATAGCACGCTATTGGCCCCATACCCCGTGCGAAGAGTGTCGGCAACACCACGCGTATCGGGCTTTGGGATTTGTCCGACGAACCCGAGCCGAGGTCGAGCAGCGCCGGCAGTTGTTCGAACAAAGCGGCAGCCATAGCGACCCATTGGTCCACCAGATACGGGACTGACCGCGACGACGACACTCACACCGAAGGTAGCCTGATCTCCCGAAGTCCAATATAACTCGGGACCACCATCCTGCTCAACTACCCCTAAGCTTGCCACCAGAGATCTCAGTTCTGACCTGGGACTCACCCCCCACTTTCCTAAAATCCTTGGCACACCCCTTTTCGCACTTCCAGGCCCCCTAACACTCCGAAACAGGAAGTCGCGCTGGGCATGAGGTTATGAGCGTCTCAGTACCCTCCACCTTGGACAACCTGTGTGTGGGACTCCTGACAACGCCTCCCTTCTTATTCTTTTCGGGGTCAGCTTCCACCTGACAACCGGTCCGTCCTTTTTCCAAAACTCCCTATTCTACGAGATCTTGCTGTAGGTCGTCCGCAATTTCAATTGTCTACCGCGTGGGCGCGGGGAACGCAGCCCTAAGGTAGCCAAATCAATGAGACTAAGAGCTACCACAAGAGAGAGAAAGAGAGAGAGAGAGAGAGTTTTGTTTCATTTATTGTTATGAGTGTGAGAGAGAGAAATAAATAGAGAGAGAGGGAGGGGGGGGCCTACCAGAGAGAG